CTGGGTGTGGGGGGGGGTGTGGGTGTCATTCCTCTATACTCATCACCCACACCCACACCCACACCCACACCCACCCACACCCACCCACACCCACCTACACCCACACCCTGTACTATAACAACGTGGCAGATGCTTTATTTTATCAATCCTATGGCGACAGCGGCAACTTTTTTCTGTAGTTTATTGTGTCGTGACAGCAGAAGATTGTCACTTGCGCTAGACACCTATGCGTTCAGCGCTCTTTTATAGAAATATGTGTTCCCTGTCATTAATGAAAAAAAAAAGAATTAATTTGATGGAACCAAGCGTACCGATTGTTTTTGAAAGTGGGACAGATGAAGAATTCAGCAGAAATTATCTTCATTCGAGTTTTTGGCAGATACAAAACAAAACATGCTAAAAGAATTGACTTTCTGCGAGATTGTTTTTGCCGAAAATCATCTTCATATTAGTGTGTGCCGAGGATAGAATTAAAATTGCTAAAAATTTCTTTCCATCAGGATTTTTCATAAGATTGTAAAGACATCTTGCAGAAAATTCAGCATTTTTTGGTGAAAGAAAAATCTCCGCTATTTCCTTCCTAATTGACAACTCTGAATGGAACTACAATATTAATAAATAATAATCTTTTTTCTCCGTATTACTCTACTTACTGTTGAACAGCAAAATAAAGTCTTGGAGTAATTCTTAAATAAAGAAGTTCAATAGGAAGATAATATTCTTGATTAATATCGAGTTTTGCAATACGATTAAATTTATTTGTTTCAACTGAATCAGCATCTAATACAATTAATGGCATTTGTGTTCGATTTGATATCTTTTGTTTTTATGAATAGAAAATATATTTAAATATAAAATTAAAAGAAAAACAAAAAAAAAATATACTTTAATAATTGAACTAAGAACAACTCTTCTTCTTTCTTGATATATTTGTGAATCACAAAGTAACTGAACTGGCCATGAAGGATTTGATGATGGAAATAAATCATAAACTCTTCTCCATGTTTGATTTATATCGACTGTTACATTTCGATCTTCAATCTATTGAAAAACAAAAGATATTTTATTTTCGGAAACAATTTATATTTATTAATCTAACTTGAACATTGAATTGTTGTTTTCTTTTGGTAACTTGTTCAGCAATAGCTGGAAGATGTGTTGCAGATAATCTTTCTTGAGGAATTGTTAAATGAAGTGATTCATTATTTTTTAATTTTAATGATTTATCTTTTGGTTTTTCACCATCAGGAAACTTTAATTTGAAAAAAAAAAGAAATAATATTAAGGATAATTTCAAAATAAATTACCTCAACACCAATAATATCTTTAATATTAATTTGATAACCAGTTTGATTAAGTATTTTTAACATTACTTGTTCTTGATCATCATCTGATGATGATCCTTTTTTATAAGCATCATTAAACATTGTTTGTATATGTTGACCAAGATCAAGAGTTGTTTTTGTTAATGTTATATTTAATAAATGTTCAGCACGAATAGAAATTACTTTTTTAACATCAATATTTGTTCCACCACGTTCTGTTTCTTTAGATTTGTCTGATGAAGATGAATCTTTCTCATCACGTAATAAATATCGATACTAAAGTTTAGTTTTAATATTTATTCATTTGTTTAAACATCTCATTAATCAGTTAATTTCTCTTTATTATGCTTAGAATAAGACCAGGATTATCACAATTATGTTACTGCCGTTTAAAAGTTCATTGACGAGGAACTGTACGAGGTGTAACCTCACCTTTGAGATTGAATATTTCTTATCAATTAGAGTCTGCTGAGACTAGAAGATTTTGCGTCAATGTATTGTCCTTCTGAAGTTCAAGCCATATTACTGCTTATGAGAGTGACAGAAGCATAGCTAACTTTAATTATCCTAATGAGTTTTCAGCGTTTCGCGTTAGACGATTAGTATTCAGTCGATCTTGATGTGTATACTCATACAAATCTGTGTTTTGTTTTGCTTTCCACTTTTCCTTTGTCAAGTGACGGTCATTTTATTCTATTTTTGATACATAGACATAGATTTTTACCAGAAATATCTCTATAGATATGTTCTATACCCAAAAAAAGTTTCGTACAAAACTTTTTCTTTTATTTCGAAAAAGATTTTCTAGTCGAGGCTACATTGAACATAACACTATTTAGTTCATCCAAGTTCCTTCATATCTATTTATTTCTAGGTCTTTCTTCGAATACATTGCTGATATCTATGCTGCATTGTCCATATCTCTATTGATATACTGTTATGTAACGCCTCTCTTTTATATCCATTCGCTAGTGTACTGCGTGATCACTTTTTTCACGATCACGATCACGCGTGATCGTGACCGTGATCGTGCGTGATTAGAAGCTTTTTTCGTGATCGTGATCGTGA